CCCCGGCCAGTAAGGAAACCCCCCATGGAAATGCCCCCCCTGCTTCCCAGGACAGGTCCCCTGCTCTTCGCCAGACCTCGCAGCACGTCCTCCAAGGCCCTTACCAGAATGTCCTCCGAACTGTGGCCGTCGCCGACGGAGAGCCCGTTCAGCTGCTGCTGCAGCTGCCCCATGCCCTGGGGCAGGTCGCGCGATGGAATGAACCAGTCCTGGTCTTCCTCCTCCAGCATCTCCTGGAAGCAGCGGTCGAGGAACTCCTGCTCCTGCAGCTCCTCCTCCACCTGCCCAAACACAGCCGTCAGTCAAGGAACAAACGACCCGTCTTGGCGTTTTCCATACGCTGTCCCCACCTGGTAAAAGCGGAGCCTGCAACGTGCCTACCTCACCTCGGTACCCGTCCGTGCCTCAGAAACACTGCGGTAGAGCCCGAGTTATATTTCAAACCTAGACGAACGCAGCTTTGTCGACTTGCCTGTAGCCAACCCCAGGATGTGCGAGGGCACGACACCCGGCACCTTTCGAGCGGAGCAAAGCCGTGCTCAGGCATCGCTTCCCGGCCACTGCAGACCGCCGGGGCGGGGAGATGCAGCCTGCGAGGCTCACGGCACCGGGCGAATCCGGAAGGGAACCGGACGGGATTTACGGGACGTCCGGACGCATCAGCGCACGCACGGGATTTCAGGCTGCCAGGCTCCAGCAGAGCTCGCTGCAGGACGAACGGGGTGGCTAATAAAGTCACAACCGGGAAGCAGCGCTAGGGGTGCGCGTCATCGTGCGGATCCTCCGCTACGGAGCGATGCGGTAGCTCTGCCAGCCCGTATTTTGCTGTCTTGCTTCCCGTACTTCTCCGGTTCGCTAAACCGGCTCCGCTCAGCCCCCTCGGCGGACCGGTGCTCTGCAAGCACCGACGCAGGGTGGCAGTCGGCTCCCGTCGAGTGCACCACGGATGACGCCATCTCCGCTGCAGGAAAACTCCTCCCGAGGCCGAGGAAAGCCGCAGGACCTGGCTCGGGCTCCCGGCGCAGGGGAGCGCAGGCAGGAGAGACGGGCAGGAGGGTGGGCCCGGGGGTCCCGTCCTGACCCTCGAGCAGGCACGTACCGTTAGTGGGTCGCATTAACCAGCTGCTCCCATCTTCCGGGCTGGTTTTCTCTGGATGCCGACTGGAGCAAAGCAAGCGAGGCAGGGAGCTGGGCAGCCCGTGCCGCCGGCGGCCTCCTGCTAAACAGGCACGTGGTCGCCAGAAAATGAGCAGACGGGGCGACAGCCAGAAAACAGCACGGTTTTGAGCAGCTGTTACTGAGGCCAAGAGGGCCGAGTGAATCCATGAACCGCAAAATGCTCTGAAGAGCTTAAACCCTTCCATTTCACCAGAAAGCAGAAACTAGAAACAAAACT